CAACCAACCAACCAACCAACCAACCAACCAACCAACCAACCAACCAACCAACCAATCAGCAAATCAACCAACCAACCAATCAGCAAATCAATCAATCAATCAACCAGCCAACCAAACAATCAACCAACCAATCAGCAAATCAACCAACCAACCAACCAACCAAGCAATCAGCAAATCAATCAATCAATCAATCAATCCGGAAAGGCGCCATACAGAACACTGCTTCACTTAGAACCAACAAAAAAATCAGAAGAGGTAAATTCAAATGCCTACTAAAAATAAGCTGTCTAGTTTTGTATTTTATTTTTTCCGGTGGGCTTTCAGTCACCTGCAGGGCGAACGACTCCGTCTTCACGACTCTCTTCAGAACCACGAAGCCGTCGGCCGTCACGTTGACGTAGCTGCTGTACTGGACCTCGTACTTCAGGTCCGGGTTCACGCCCTGACGGACACACAACCACACAGAGACACACAACCAGAGATGTTCAGTAACCAAGTACAGCTACTTAAGAACCAAAATGCAGTATCTTTACTTTATTGGAGTATATATATTTTCCCTACTTTTAATTTGACTCCACTACATATTTTTGATTAATTTAATACTTTTACTTTTACTTTCATGGGCTGAATGGTTACTGGTTACTGATATGTAAACGTAATGAATCAGATGTAGTTTTCTGTTTTTGCAAACACCTGTATGGCCTTCCTGTATGGCCTTTCACACATTTGAAAGAACACTTCTTCTTCTACTCAAGTCAGTTTTTTGTATAGTACTTGTACTTCTACTCCAGTACTTCATACATCTCGGGACCCACCCCGGCGAAGTCCTCGTCCCGGGCCCGGACCCTGAAGGGCCGGTTGGTGCTCCGGTCCCGGAGGATCATGCTCTCTGGGACGGAGTTGCTGTAGATGAATCCCTCGTATCGCTCCTTCTCAAAGCGGGGGGCGTTCCTGCTCTTCTTCATCACCTCGATGGCCACCTGAGTCACCGCAAACTGGTCCCTGTTGGTCACCTGGGACGCCTGGGGGGCAGAGTCAGACCATCACACACAGCCAGGAGACCCAGCTGCCCTCTGGAGGACTTTAGCTTCCATCAGTTTTGCCGGGGTTTGTATTTATTCTGACCAGAACGGTGAGGATTATCGGGCCCACAATGTCAGCAGCCTTCGTCATGGTGATGTTTCCTGTTTCCTCATCAATCTGAAATATATTCCCCTCATTTCCTAAAGACCAAAAGAGACAAAGAAATAAATGTGATTATTTTTAAAA